TATATATACACACACACACAATGGGTATAGAAAAGGATCACCCACCTTTAAAATAATCACATTTTGTTGCTTTGCAGCCTGAAATGAAGACGGACACAGTTTCTGTTTTATCCAGCTGTATTTACTCAGTGCAACTTCTAAGTCAAAGATATAAATAACACCAACATGTCAGAAAAAGCAATCACTGAGTTGAAAAAAGGATCACTAAGCCATTTGACTTTCAACTATAATCAGCAGTGGTCATTTTGATTAGCTCAGCATGAAAAGAGCTTTCCTGGAGCATTTCAGTTCTTAGTAGTGCAAATGAAGCAAACAATCAACTATGGGTGACAAGGCCCTGTCAAAAGATCTCCGGGATAAAGTTGTGGAAATATGGATGGGGCAAAATACCATCAAATTCTTGAGGAAAATCTTCTGCCCTCTGCCAGAAAGTTGACAATGGGAAGAAGGTTTACCTTCCAACATGACAATGAGCCAAAGCACACAGCAAAACTGAGCACATAGTGGTTAAAGGAGAAAAAGGTGAATGACCTTGTGTGGCCTATAGTCAGAGCCCAGACTTAAACCCCATTGAAAATCTGTGGAATGACTTGAAGACTGCATCAAATTTAACTGAACTTGATCAGTTCTGCAAAGAAGAGACACTGACACTTTTCTTGTTTTTCCTTTTTTATTTGCAGTTCACACCATGTTTCATCTCAATGTACTGCTTTGCAGCAGAGAAGGGATACATGATGTTTTTGAGCAAGAACAAGGACACATTTGAATGTTTTTCTCTTTAGAATATTAGTGCCTTTTATTGTGCGTGATTGTCTATTGGACACACTATGTAGATCACCGATGACATTTTCACCACTACATAAATAAACTGTAAATAGTGTGTAATAGCAGGTGGCATCTTCACAGTTTTTTTTCATGAAAGAGGACCTTATGTTTCTCCAAGTTGGGAGAATAAACCATTGTTTTAGTACACTTGTGTCAAAGTGCGTTATTAGAGATTATGTACCATGAAGTAAAGAGATGAAATTATTGCACATGGAAATTGTTTCAGCTCTCAGAAACGCACATACAGAGGTGTAAGGCAGCAGCGTTTGCCAAGGATTCAGAAAGAGGCTAATGTACTTGCTGTGTTACTGAATGGGACCCCTGAATTATGGGAGTCAATAAAACCGGCTTTATGTGCTCATTAGTCTCCAGATATGTTAAGACATCATTTTAATAATTGTGAATATATTGGATTAAAGAATTTATTCGTTTAGGGGAATAACATACCAAATGTGCATAGTAAGACCTTGGATATTTATGAAAAAAGTAAATGGAGTCAATTTTGATTTCATATTGACTTGAAACAAATCTCAAAAACAGTCTTTTTGGTTCAGTCCTCTTCTGTATGAGGCCTCGGCTTGTTTGGGGTTTTATAAGTTAAAGTTAGTGTTTCTGGATCAGTTTTGCTTGAGAATAATGACTAATATCTGGCTATTCAGATGCTATTCTGTGTTCAGTTGGGGGCACATCAACACTGAAATGCAAATGCAAAAGTTCTTTATTTAAATATTTAATACTGTGTTTAAGTATGAAGGAAATCCATTGGAATTCATCTCAAGTATTCCATGTCTCTACAAATTGGAGACTGAGGTTTCTGTGTGCCCTTGCATGGTTGAATGGTGTAAAGGTTTAGTTAAGTGCACACAGACAGAACCCCTCCCTCCATACTAAGTGTGTCCTTGGGATCTCTAGCTCTCAGGTTCGATAAGTGCTGCTGTTCATGTTGAAATGCATTGCTTAGCACTGGTTATCAGGGAAAATTGTACATGCAGCTCATGACAGATTATGAGAAATGCTGGTATTACATGGTACCTTTTCAGCATATGTAATTATTTCCTATTGGTTATGATCTGTGTGGAAACATTTGACAATCTTGGCCTGTTTTGATTGACAGGTTTTTTTTTTCTTTCCAAGAACGAGCTGTTTGTGTGCAAACGGTCCTGCTCTTTTAAGACCTTTTGCAAAGCTGAAAATACCATGCACAGTGGTGAACAGGTCAGACAGAAAAGTTGCAATGTGTTTTATAACTTTGTGCTGCCATTTCTTAGTAATTCCATCCTGCTCCTGCTGACTTCAGAAGGTTCAAAATAAACTCTCTGCTCTGGCTTCCAAGTCACAGAAACTTTATTTCTTATAGATGCTAGTTTAATAAAGTGCAGCAATTTCACATTTTTAACTAGATTACTTTTTTGAAGAAAAAGAAGAAGAAAATACCATGTTGTTTTGGATGGTTGCGACAGCGTTTCTGTAAATTTGCTTGGGTATTTTGAGTAGTTTTAGCTGTTTCCATCCAATATTGTAAAAGTATCATTGTATGCATTTATTTGTAACTTTATTTTGTTGTTTATTTAGGTTTTGTAACACATTTTGAAAATTTTATCTTGGTGTTTCCATCCAGGAATTCTTTAATGCAATATTCCAAAATTCACATTTAAAACGTGGATGGAAAGCTGGCAAAACATTCCTTTGAAGGACTGGAAGACGTGTCAAACATTTCTTTAATATTCTGGTCAGCAGATATGATATGCTTCTTTGCTTAAACTGTAAAAGTCTTCAAAAAGCCTGATAGAATTTATCAAGTTTAATCGCTTGGAAAACTTGCACAGATAACATTATGTCTGTACTTGGGTGTTGCTGTCTAACAAAACACCATCTCTTAACAAGCAATGTTTTGGGTATTTTGTAAGCTTTTGATATTTATTTTACACTGGTCAGCCACAGTGTTAAAACCACTGAAAGCTGAAGTGATTAATATTGATTATATCAATATAATGCCGCCTGTCAAGTGGTGGGATATATTAGGCAGCAAGTGAACAGTCAGTTCCTGAATTTCATGTGTTGGAAGCAGGAAAAATGTGCAAGTGAAAAGATCTGAGTGACTTAGACAAGGGCCAAATAGTGAGACGACTGGGTTAGAAATCGTTCAGAAATGGTTTGAAGAACATGACAAAGAGTTCAAGGTGTTGCCTTGTCCTCCAAATTTCCCAGATCTAAATCCGATTGAGCTTCTATAGGCTGTGCTGGACCAACAAATCCATCCATTGAGGCCCAGCGTCTGCAACTTGCTAATGTCTTGGTGCCAGATACCACAGGACACGTTCAGAGGTGTTGTGGTGCCCATGCCTTGACACATCAGAGCTGATTTAGCAGCACAAAGGGACCTGCATGATATTAGACAGGTGGTTTTAATGTGGCTGATCAGTGTATGTGACGTGGACAGGATGTCATAGAAGTCGAAACCAACCATATGCCCTAAGATGGCTTTAATGGCTTTCTGCATGTTAGTATGTGCAATAATAACAGTGAGGCTTGCCTTATTGTGAAAACTCAGAGTGTAGAGTGATGAAGTGCTGACACAGAGCTTTGCCTATGTTGGCATGCTACTGTTCTGGTAAGGCATGTGGCTGTTTGTTTTCATAGAGCCCTGCTGGCCTGCTGCCAGAGATGGGCATAAATACATGAAAATGTATTTAAAATAAAAATACAAAATACTGTGTGGAAAAATGTATTTAAATACAAATACAGTATTTTCTATTTTGAAAATACACAAAATACATGTACAATTGGCCATCCAGTGCAGGTATCCCTATAGGCTGAAATCTATCTGGACCTATTCTGGAGAAAGAAAAAAACAAACAAACACACATTTCGATGTGTACAACTGCTTAGAAACTTTTGTTTTCATTTTACATACCTCTTAGGAAATATAAAACTACTATTGAAAGATATTTATTTCATGTTCAAATTTATCTTGTATATAAAGTTTTTTTCAAATGAGAAAGTGTATCTAATATTTACATTTTAAAATTAGAATTCATATAGATAGAATTTAACACCATTTGCTCAAAGGTTTTTCGTTTTTTTTTTTTCTTTACAAACAATAAAACAAAACCTAAAGATTGTTTGTGGTGAAACATTCATCAGTGTCTTCACAAATTAAATTGTTGATGACAGACAGTGATTAACCTAATTATTTTGTCTCTACATAAACATACATTTGCATAGATGGGTGAACACAATCACCTGATTTTTCATTAAGCACCAAGTTTGCACTTCTCTAAAATATTAAATGCTTACATTTACAAAATGAGCCTGCAATATTAGAAATAATGAATAAAGTAATGGCCCATGTTAAATACAAACATTAATTAAAAGAAAATGTTTAATGAATTAAAAAAAAACAAAGCATTAATTAATTTAGTGTTATACATAATGTTATCATATTCATATGGTTTGTTCTAATGTCACAAATCATAATCTCAGGTTTACTGCATTTTACAAGATTCATTGAATTCTTTTGTGTGGGTTTAAGAAGTGTACTCGAAAACATTTTCACATGTGTCCTCCAAAATGACCCACAACCTAATCAGTTTATATGTGAAAAAATCCATTTATTCACAAACTTCTCACGAAATGACTGTTTGACAAACAACTCGCAAACTACTTCCTCCCACTGCTGCTTTCTGATGGTTTGGAGAACAATTACTCTGTGTCGCCCCCTGTCATTTCACAGAATTATACAGCGGCGAGCGCATCGAGTATAAAAGCCTCGTCTGTTTAGGGAGGAGCGGGCAGTCAGCAGGTTCGCGGCGTAGAGCCAGGCCAAAGTATAAACAAGGCTTCAACTGCACAAAACGCTTCCACCACGACAGAAATCAGGAGCTGCGTGGTGATTCCTCCACTTGATGCGGAGTGTAAAAAGTGTCAGAAGTGTAGGCCTACTTGTTGGTGTTCCACTCTGCACAAAGCACATCACTTTCTATTGCTCATTTATTCATGCTTCTTTTTCCACTCCCAACGTTCCAATAATTCCTGCCCACTAAAAGCTGCATGGATATATTCGCTTACCCTGATAGGCCTATCTATGTAAACGATTTAGAAAAAGTTCAGTCGATTCACTCTTTATATCATTGCCATGATATGTATTGTCATATCACCCAGGCCTAACATGCAGTAATGCTTTAAACACATTTGACAAGCTAGTTGATAAAAAACAACAACCGATTAACTATCAAAACTGATTGGCTAATGCTATTCGGTGCTCTTTTCTTCTTTCATGTTAACCGAAGGCAAATCTGAATGATGCACATTTTAACTTTAATCGACAAGTGCAATTGACCATGACATCCTAACCTTATCTTATTGCAGTAAAGTCGCTCACCCAATGCTGAATGGAGCTGTACAGCTGCAGCTCACGTGATGAATGTTGGGGGGAGGGGGCGTGTCTGAACTAGTTGATGAATGAAATCAGCACCCTGATAAAGAGGTTGACTGGCACAAAGTATTTTGTGTATTTTGAAAATACAAAAATACTTATCTTAAATGTATTTAAATACAAAATAATTAGATTTTTTTCCGAAGGCTTTTAAATACAAAATAGTATTTTGTATTTCAAATACGTATTTTAAATACATGTATCTGAAATACTGCCATCCCTGCCTGCTGCCTGATTTTGCCTCAGATGAAGCTCTCTTGGCAGGTTTAAAACAGGCTGCTGCTCTAAATACCCTCACCTGCTGCCACATCGCTCCAATTAAGTCCATCTCCTCCTCTCTGGTTCACACACAAATACGTGAGCGCACCTGTGAAGGCTAGATCCTCCCCAGCTGTTGGATTTTCTCATTGGCTTCTATCCCCTTGTCCTTCCCTGCCTTGCAAATCCGCTAGTTAGCATGGATCAGGAACAGTGCTGACTTTGCTGACATCTGTACTTCGACAGAAACCATCCAACCGTGCGAAGACATTCAGCCTATAGGGACGGACTCAGTTATTCCGAGCAATGTCATACTGTGACACTCGGACTGTTTGATTGACAAGGTGCAATAACAGGAATGAGAGGCATGAGTGTCCATTATCACTCGCTGTGTTTTGTGAGGGCTTCCTCCCCTCAGGGCATCGGCACGTGAGGGTCTGTGAGTAATGATGTGGGCCGGAGCGTTCCCAACTCCGGGACCCCAGGGCAGACACCGAGGGCTGAAGTTTGGAGAAGCTCTCTTATTAAAAATCCAGATTTTCTTGTCAATGATGATATTAAGCACTGTCAGCAAGATTACGTTGATGCAGTAGCTGGAAATGGAATATCCCACTTTAAGCATTTGTCAGTCATGGGATGTGCTGTTTACTTTATGCCTTCAGTACATTACATGTTTCGCTAAGCTGTCACCCATCAGTAAATGTTAGCAGATTTGTGTGATTCATTTTCATGCTATTTGGTTGTTATATTTGTCATAACTTATTCACTTACACATCTTGAACTCCATTATTCACATAATACTTGGACTTGTATAGCAATAGGGGTAGAATTATTCTTAATAATAATAATTAATATTTACCTTTACTTTTATTAATAACAGTAGTAGTAATAATATATATAATATACATAATGTACATAATATTTATTATTATTATTATTATTAATATATTATTGTTGTTGTTGTTAATAATTATTATTTTATTATTAATAAAAATAACAAATAATAATAATAATCTTAGAATCTTGAATCTTAGTTAGGATACTGTACAATAGTAATACATTTCTGTTAATAATTCTTCACTTTCATGTGTTATTTTGCAGTGATTTGTTGATAGTCACGTTCAATTAAGTGCATGTGTGGGTAAATATTTCTTTAAAGGGGTCATATGATGCGATTTCAAGTTTTCCTTTCTCTTTGGAGTGTTACAAGCTGTTCGTGAATAGATAAGATCCCTGAAGTTGCAAAGACTAAAGTCTCAAAACCAAAGAGATATTCTTTATC